GGGATTCAAAATAAAAATACTCGTCTGAAGAGTGTCTGACCCCTAGAAGGAATCCCAGATAATGACCTTACAATGTCAGCCTGGGAGACAAGGAACCCTGGGGAATATCTGGGGCTGAGTTACTAGCAGGCACCCTCTTGGCAAACTCTCACGACATCACTAATAACAGCACAGGTGGATGCCATCTTAGAACCCATCCTCCACATTATGAGACCCTGTGGGCCATCCCTGATGAGAGCTCCACCATCCACAGAATTAGCCATGATAGCTGGGGACTGAGAGAAAACATCCAGAGGGTGCACCCTGGCATACAAGCAAGCCTGACTCCCACTAATCACCACCTGCTTGTCGGCAAACAAGCTGTGCCTCCACAGCCGGCATGCATCCTGGAGACCATCCAGCCTAGCCAGCTAGAGCCAGCATGCACCCTGGAGGCCATCTAGCCTAGCCGCTAGCATGCAAATCTTGCCCCTTGCTGTGTTCCCTTGTCAGCCCAGGTTCTGCCAGACCTCAACCACTGCCTGCCCTGCATGTGCTCTGCCCCTGGAAGGCTCTTCACAGACCCTCAGTCATACCCCAGTCTGCTGTAGCACCAAGCAGCTTGAGTCATGCTGCCCCAAGGCACAGAACCTGCAGCCAGTCACCAGGTCCCAGGGGCATGCACTGGAACTGCCTATGCCAGCAGTCCAGCTATTCCGCAAACTTTCTGTAGTCAACTGAAAGAAGTCTCCCGCCGCTGGCCACCTATGCGACACTGTGGACTGCTGCTGGCACCGTACAAGCACCAACTCAGCGGGGAGCCTGGATGGGCACACATCCACAGCACCTCCACGTGCTGGAGGCAGCCACACGTCAAGGCCAAGCCCACAGCGCTGGCCACCGAGCACATCTTAGTCCAGGGCCAAGACCAAGCCCAAACAAAATGCCACTGACAAGATAAACTGCCTAACAAGATTAAAAGCGCTGCCCACGGTACTTCCCAGCACAGGAAGCTGGAGGTGCAGTCCACGAAAATGACTCACCCGATGAAACTAATTCAGGGAGTGGGGGCGATGGTGCTCCAGGATGCCACAAGACACCACCTGCATAAAAACCTTGTAGACCTCACTTGACTCCAGCATTCAAACTGAACATCACCAGGCGATGACAAGAAAAACGTAAGTCAGTGCTGAGAAATTGTTGTCGAAGACAGAGAACCTAAAGAATTGTTCCAGTATGAAGGAGACTCATGAGACATGAGAACAAAATGCTGGGTATGATTCTAAACAGGATCTTTTTGCTCTAATGGCCATTTATTGAGACAACAGGTGAAACCTGATTGACAGCTGTGGGTTAGATGGTAATTTTAAAGCTAATTTCCTGGTTTTGATAGTTGTTTTGGGTTATGAGGAGAATGTCCTTGTCTGTAGGGAATGCACTAAACATGGGGCAGGGGTGTGATGAGGCTTTCTGTAGACAACGTGCTCTCAAATATTTCAGGTAATTTCTTCTGTTCTTCTATGTTTGAGATTGTTTCCAAATAAAATATAAAAACCAGGGCCTCCCTGGTGGCACAAGGGGTTAAACACCACACTAGGAAGCAATCCACAGCCTCGGCAGCATGAGTTCAATCCCCGGCTGGCCAGGGAGCAACTCACATCTCGTCCGTTTCCCATTGTCTCTTGTGAATCCTCTCACCTCTGCATCTCTGGCCTGCGCCCCTGCTCTTGTATGCATGAATGAATAAATCTTTAAAAAAAAAAAACTAGAGGTAAGCTGAAGAAAAGACACGAGTTGGAAATTTTGTAGGGTACTTGGCGAGGAATAAAGCTGGGGATGGAAAACAAAAGCTCTAATTTACCACGAGCAGGGGAGGATTAAAGAGAACTGATCTATTTAGAAGAGAGGGCGGGAGAGGAAACAAGATACTGACACAGTTGACAGAAACTGAAGGTGGGGAGAGCAATGGATTTGCAGAAGTTGGCAGAAAAGGCTGAGTGAGTAGGAAGAGGAAGAAAAGAGGGCAGGGAAGAGAACTAGTATTTATTGAATGTCTTCTATATATTAAGCATTATGTGGAGTATTTAAATCCCATTTAACTCTTACAGAAGCTTGTGAGAATTTTATCCACATTAAAAAATATGAATAAACTAAGACCCAAAGAGCTTAAGTGATGGGTCCAAGTTAAAACAGCTAGTAAGCACAACCAGGATTTAAATCCAGAATGTGTGATTTCAGTGACAATGGGGTAGTGGAGACATGGTTTCATCAGGTCAGAGAAGAGAGTTATTTTTTTTCCTCCAGAGATTGGAGAGGGCATAGAGGCTGAGTAAGAAAATGATGGTGGGGGTCTGGAGGTTGGGATTGAAAACAAGACTGAAGAGCAACCTAAAGAGATGTGTTGGAGTATAGTAGGCCAACTTGTAAGATGGCATCCAATTATCCCCACTCTCTCCTCTTCGTGAGTGTGGGCTGGATCTGGTGACATGCTTCTAAACAGAATACAAAAAAGCAATGAGCTGTCAGCTGTCAATTCTGTGATTAGGTTATAAAAAATTATAACTTCTGTCATGTTAACAGTCTCTTTCTGGTTGGTTTTGATGAAACAAGCTATCACATCAGAGTGCCCGAACAGGCAAAGAACTGAGAGCAGCCGCTAGCTGACAACCAGCAAGGAAGGTGTTTCAGTCCAACTACCACCAGGAAGCTGAATCTTCCCAAGAACCACATGCATGAACTTGGAAGCAGATTCTATCCCAGTCTAACCTTGATGGAGTCTGTAGGAGACCCTGCGCCAACACTGTGATCGCATCCTCTGAGAAACCTCGAAGAGAGGCACTGAGTTAGGGTGTACCTGGATTTCTGGTCCATCGAAGTGAGATAATGTTTGTAGTTTTAAGGTGCTAAATTTTGGGATACAGGATCTTTATTATTTGAGGATTCCATACCTGAAAACATTGCTAGTCTCTAAAATTTATTTGTAACTTCCCAAACTCATGTCACTTTCACAGTCATTTATGACACAGAGTGGCAAACACTTGAGTTGCCTAATGAACACTTTTCCAGTCTGAGGTTGAACAAACAAGGTTCTGCCCTGTTCCAGCTCTCATACTGTAAAGCATCCTCTTGGGAGCTTACTTAATGCCATTTTTTTTTTTGCATTTCTATTGGTGATTTCACTGTCTAAAATGGCCCCCAAGCATAGTGCTGAACTGTTGTCTAGTGTTCCTATGTGCAAGGTGGCTATAATGAGGCTTATGGAGGAAACTCTTGTGATAGATAAGCTTTGTTCAAGCATGAGGTATATTCAGGCTGTTGGTTGTGAATTTAATGAGTCATCAATACATAGTAAATAAAGTGCATTTAAACAGAAACATATTAGACAAGGTTATGCATTGCATGAAACTAACCCTGTATTTCTCTAGGAGTAATGATTCAGTACTCACCATTTAGAGTCCTCAGAGACTTTTAGATCTTAACTACTTTGAATAATAAGAATTGACTGTGACTTTTTGCACAGCTATACATAATGAGCACAGAAGGAAACAGGGTAATTCAGCTCACCAATCCAAGGGGGAAGAGCTTCACCAGGAACATGATTGAGGGTCAAGGGTGCAGTTCTCTGATGGGGGAAAGGCTAGAGATAGTGATTGGTGGTGTTAGTGTCTGCTATCCAAGTACCATAAAAATGGTTATATAAAAAGGATACATACATATATATATATATATATATATATATATATATCTCAAAAAGAAATACTTTCGTCTGACTAAAGAGAGATTGTGAGTGGAACTTTCTAGGAAAATTAGCCTCCTAAAGCAATCTCCTTGCTCTATAAAACCCACAACTGTGCAAGGATGGAGGTGTCAAAGGCACCAGTTTAATGGTGGCTCTGTGACCGTACAGGGTGATGTAACCCAGGGCGGGATTCTGGCCATTGTAGCACACTGATGTGCCAACACGGGGAAATATATAATACAGGGGAAGCTGTAGATGGAACAGTTCCCAACCGCCTTAACACAACTTTTCTGTCACCTGTGATCTATGCCGCAAAGGTCTGGCTTCTGTGGCTGTGAATTTAAGGTATCTTCATTTACTTTTCTGTCCACAAAAGATTCTTTTTTATTTTGGTTTTCAACTTCATCTATAGTACCACTCCTACCCCCACCTGCTAAAATGCGCCTGGATTTTATAGAAGTAGTACTGTTTTGTGAGTATGTGCATAGATTTAGAAGTTACTAAATGACACTGTGCTAGAAATAGTATGCTCTTTCTTCCTTTCCCTACTCTACCCCTTGATTTAAGCATTGTTCTGGGAAAGAACAATGTTGCTTCTAACAGCCGCCTCCAGTTCCCTCTACCACAGCAAAGGTAGTGAGTGAATGTTTCATCATGTAGAGTCATAGCCTTCATTTGCCTCAGTCTGTTCCTTCTTCCCCTTTTTTTTTTGGAGGCAAAAGAGTAAGGAAGGGAGGCATAGCTACCAGAACTCATTCCTAGATCCTGAGAACACGAAATAGCTCACTTTTGTAGAGCAACTTTTCACCTGGCTATACAAACAATTTTCTGAGAGGCAGAGGTGCACATTTGTTTTAGTTTTAAACACACACACACACACACACACACAGAGGTTATTCCCAAACATGATTTTGCCTGAAGATAGTAAAAGTGAAAAAAAATGCAAAAACTAAACCTAAAACGCCATTTAATGCATTTTAATTAAAAAAATATGTACCATGAATAGCAAGAGAAAAATAGAAACATGGAGAAAATCAAGTAACCATGAAACACGGAGATGCGTCTGAAGTGAGAAAGTGCTTACTCAGAGGTAAAAAGCAGTTCGGAAGCACTGAGGCGTGAAAGGCATAAATGCAAAGGGAATAAAGTTTGATGGCAAGAAAGTTGAAATTTATACTGTCCTCAAGGACCAAGTCCCCACCCAGACTGACATCCAGATAAGACTGCTGCAGAAGCTAGAGTCCTGCTGATTCAAAGAAAGAAAGTCGTAACTTGTGGAATCAAGTTTTATTTCTGAATTATACAGAGAGGAGATATATATTTATATATATTGTCTCATCACATATTTTTATATTATTAATCCACACTAGGAAGAATTTATTTACCAAAACAAAGTCTAATAGATACTTTATTCAGAGCAATCCAATACATGGTAGAAAAAACTCTAAATATATAAAAGTTTAATTTGTGCACATCTAAACATTTCTAAGGGAGCAAGCTACTGAGGCATGGCGATTAGATGAGAATTGGGACTGTAGTTCCATTAACTAAATACTTAAGATGAGACCATAACACAAAGACCTGGAGTAGTGACTTCTACATGTTTAGAAGATAAACCCTAAAAACATTGTAAGGCTTCCACAGGAACTTCGGGGTTCCTTGCACTTAGCTTTTGCCCTGCAACAAATTTTCTCACTCCTTGACAATATCTTCTATGCATATTTTTGTTCCTTCTTTTAATCAAGCAACTAGTAAAGAGCAGTTGCCACTTTGAGAAAATAATACTTTCGCCCCAGCGACCCCCTTGGTTCCCTCGACTACCAATCACAGGAAAAGTGCAAACCAGTTTCGAGAAGTCAGAACCCAAGCAAGAATGGTCAGAATGAAAGTGTTAGATAGCTAATGATGTGAATGTTTACATCTGTCTACCTATCTGCTTAGGGAGTTTTTTGTAGGTTCTTCTAGTATGCTATTGACTTGGATTGAATTTACATGGTGGCTTTTCTCTAACACGTGCAATTAAATTAATTTATCTTTTTAAGATAATAAAATATCAGATGCTAACTATCAGAATGGTTACACAGCCCATAGAGCAGCCCAAACAAAATCAGTAATTGGGAAAGATGCCCTTAGTTTCCATGTAGGAAGGTGAAGCTTCAACGACTCCTGAGTAGTCTTCCATGGGCAAATTTGACAAGTTCAAAGAAAGCGTGAATGGTTAGATTGTTAATGTGTTTGCTGGACTCTAGCAAGAGCCCTGTATCAACAGCTCTGTCCTCAGGTTCACTCCACTCCACTGAACACTGGGTTCTCCATTCATTCCTGGGGACATGGGGAACATGTAACTCATCCTCCAGAAGGAGACATGATTCAGCAAAAAGGAGCATTGTTAATAATGATGCCAGCAACGGTGAACAAAGTTGGTGAACAAACTGATATACTGATGTTTAACATGTAACATCTTGAAGTAAGTTTATCACCTGCAGTACAGACAGCTACCAAAAATGTGGACACTGATCCTTAAGTTTCTCAACGTGGAGGTCTTCATCACACACTGAAGAAATGATGATTTTTTAAAAGACCAATTCATCCAAAACATGATGCCAAATTTGATAAGACTGATATCAACTATAACACCTAACTGCCTTTTACGAAGTTAGAGATGATTCATGTGAACAAAAGCCAATGGACACTTAACTGATTGTGATTTCATACCTGTCTCAGTTTATGGCTGTGTTAAGCAAACTTAGGATTTTAAAGGTACAGTTATGCAGAGAGAACCTTCTCAAGGAGAGTTGAGCCCTGTGTATTTTAAACCTCAAATGGTCACTAAGGAGAAATCCAGCTAACCTATGGGAGTAAATCCACTTACAATTAGCAGTGGGTTGAAGTTATCTTATTTGTCCATACCAATCTAAGAGATGAAATGCCACTGCACCAAGGGGTAAGGAAATATTGAAATAGAAGGTCCTACTTTTTTGCTAAGGTTCAACTAAAATCTTTGAGGCACATACTTGGCAAAATAGGAAAATACACACAATTTCAAAAAACATGTGAAGAGTAAACAAATTCCCTCATTGTTTTTTCCCTTAGAAATTTAGAATGGCACCAGGTAGTGCAAAGTGGAAAAAAGTACCATCAGCCCTATCTCTTCCAGGTAGATAAGTTTCAACAGAACTATGAAGCAGAAAACCATCCTCTTCTTCAGCCATGGCCAGCTAAGGCTTTTCTTTCAGCTTCAGGTCAATACTTTGAAAAGAAAAAGGAAAAATAAAATGAGAACTGAATAAGGAACATTTACTAATAGCTTGTGGCATATGCTTGTTTTCCTCAAAAGATTGGCTAAAAATAAATCGTGCAAGTTTCTTAGACTAGACAAATCTGGTAAAACAGAATCTTTCCCTGATTGCCTAGGTTTTCTCTAAGATATGGAATCGGTTTGTTTTTACAAAATTGTTTCTGGAAGCATTTTACACCTTTCAAAATGATCTAGGGGGCAAAAGACTCCAGTGAAGGCTCATTCTCTTAGTAGATTAAGCTAATGAGTATTATTTTTGGAATCAGGAATCTACCTATTTTAAATAAATGACCTTTCATTGTGGGGAAAATAAATGATTTGCCTAAAATAAGGAATACCTGGCAAGTGCTAAACACTAACAAAGTATGTGGTAAAGTTTTGATGGCTCTCCCCAAAGCATTTTTTGTAAAGCCAAGGGATTTGCCTGGAGAAGTTATCCTATCTTAATGAGATAGATGCTTACAGTCTAAGAAAAACTTGGTTTTAAGAATGTCTAGGGGGTCCCAGATATCTAGAGAGTAAGTCTGAAAAGTCCGTAGGCCACTTGTGTCTCTCTTCTGCCCATTAGAAAACAGATCACAACTTCCTGGTGCCTGCCAAAGAAGGGTGCTACAACCTTTGAGCACCCAAAAGAAGAGTTTCAGCCATGAAAAAAGAAACATTTTTTTTTTTTTTTTTTGGAAAGATGCTTTGTCTGAAAAGGGTCATTTGGGACGTATCTGCAGCTCTCACTTAGATCTTCCTTGCTGAGCCTCAAGTCTGTACTTTGGGAAAGTTACTGCTCTACTTGAGAATTTCCAGTAGCTGAGCGGTGTTTTTGCAATAGCTTTGCAAATAAAGACATTGGTAAGCCACCCTGCCTGCCCACCCAGTTATAAAGTATCTTTCCTTTGAAATACTCTCAGCAGTTCTGCTACTTATTAGCTCTGGGGTCTTGGCCAAGCTACCCACCCTTCCTAAATTTCTATTTCTTTATCTGTAGACTAGAATAATCATCTCTCTTATGGCTTGCTATGGATTAAGTCTAAGGCTTTTTTATTGTACCTGGTGAACACAGTATATGTCCTGTAATAATAGTGGTAATACAATACCAAAGTAATAATAGAAGCAGCTTGGAAAATCAACTCTAAATTACTCTACTTATTAAACTAATCTTATTTCCTTTGGAGGTTTTCACACCCAGCCATGCTGACTGTCAAGAGAGACTAAGTCGTCATGGATATTAAGCTCTTTCTTAAGTCCTCAAGGATATAGGTTGTTTGTTCTTCTGCACAATTTTACCATGGAGGTGACCCTTAGATCTTATTCTAATTTACTTTTCAAAACAGGTCCTTTCTGACTTTGTTTTTGCTTCTCAAATGATTGGAATTTTATTTTTTCTCACATGGTGTTAGTTCAGTTTCTTCCACAGACCAGAACAATATTTATTAAGCCCAAATTTGGGGTTTTGTCAGAAAACCGTGAATGTGGGTGACTGTATGAATTATCTTGGGAATTAAAAGTGCATACTTTTACTATCCAGTCCTTTGATGAAAATCTGAAATAACACTTATGCCAAGATGCTCATCTCAAAACAACTAACTTTTCATCCTGATATTTTGAAATTATTTATTTTCTATTGGTGATGTTGATTTTTTTTTTTCAGCTATAATTTTTTTCACTCTCTCTTTTTCAAAAAGCCTTCTAGGAATTACTTCATCCCTTCAACTCTTGGTAAACAAAAAGCCAAATGACTAAAAGCTATTTATCCAGTTTATGAAGAAGCAAGCAATAGTCAAAAATAAGTTTCTAAGTTCATGAAAGCAAAGCAAAAATTAATTTGGAAGACAACAGTCAACTTGCGGAGCTAATGAAGCTACCAACAATGCTTCTAATTTCAGTCTTCCCCAACAGAACCACATCTACTGGATAACAAGTGCTTTTCATGTATATAAAATATAAAAAAGCATGTTGTAAGTTTTAGGATATGAATGGGTAAGTAAAATCCATACTTAAAAGTGAAGGAGACAAGGAGCTAGGGCCACATTTAAAAATAGTATGCTTTATGGAAAAATACTTTTAGTCAAAGTTGAAATATGAAAGGAGTACTTCCTCACCTTTAAGCAATGGCCTTACTTTTTTATACACCAACTTTGCAAGACATAGCAACCTCTGATAATTTTACTACAGGCCATTTTGGCTTCTAATGTGTGTTAAAGGACATTCCTTACAAAGTGTCTGGCAATATTGTTTAATGATGAATAAAACCACTTTATGTTTTCCTCTCAGAGGCAACTGAGAGGCCACTACAGCATCAGCACAGATTTTACTTTATTCTTGACCTGAATGAGGTCCTTGGAAGAAAGAGCCTTTGCCTATTTTGCAGTTTATTCATTCAGTACTAGCCACAGAAGGTCTAAAATGCTTCCACATAGAGCTCTTCCCTGTCCTTGAATGGTTTGAAGTGGACAGGAGCCAGAACAAACCAGGAAAGTCCCTCTTTCTAACACTAAAAAGTTCTTGGTACTTCTGCCCTTCGTGCTGGATCTTACCTGCACACTGGGATCATGTGCCTTCAAAGGGCTTAGGAAAGAGAGACTTGAAGAAAAGGGAAGCAAGGAGAAGCCTATGCTATAAAAAGTGGGAAGTCAAATTAACAGTTTGCAATATCCCTCCCTCCCCATGCCCAGCTCTGGAATAAAATAAAAAAAGAAACTGTGCTCTGCCCTCTTCCCAGCCCAAACAGCCCTAGATACAAAGGAAGAGTAAAACACAGAAAGGAGTGGGTAAGCCTGCAGATGTAGCAGCCATAGGCCATTCTGCCCACGCAGCTCCACCAACTTCGAATGCAGGACTGTGCTCTGGGGGCGTTGTTTTGTCAAGGAAAGATTTGCCCAAAGAATATGGTGGGCTACGGAACTGAGATATTTAGGCTTTGCAAAATTTTCATATGGCAATTTGCTCAAATCAAATGTCTTCATCTCAGAGGGGTAGAAAAAATGTAGCCTTCAGAAAAATAGCTTGTATGATCTCAAAAGCCCTCTTGTAACTTTTTTTTTTTTTTCTTTCTGGAGTTTTTGTGCATAAACTTCTTTAAACTGTAAGGTCAGTATGGCAACATGGAGATTTACACTGTAATTTTCCAACCTCCCTTTAACACTCAGGGGAAAGAGGCCCAAAGAGAACTAAATGTGACAATGGCAGATGCATTTAATCTTATCATTGCCACTCTACTGGATACCTGGGAAGGACATTGGTAAATTATCCACAATTTAAATCAAACGAGGATCACTAATTGGATGGCCACATTGTCTGCGAGTATGGTGGTGACCACAGTTTATTCCCTGAAATGGACTTATCCTATAGTTAACTCTATGACTCATTTGGTCCTTTCTAGTCTTTTGTTATCAAAAGTTGCACACTCATTCTAGCACTGACACCACCTGTGATTTTCAAAACACACACTTTGGAATTGCACCGTAAAAGTTCAAATTCCCTGGGTCGTTTTTTATAAATGCAAAATGTTGCATTAGTCTAATCTCTCTATGCTTTTCTTATTTGTTAATTTCTTATCTCATAGGCTTATTCCAGGGGGAGAAAATCAGTGAGTAAATCTGTTGACATTGAATCGGGCATGTGGTACCAACTCAATACCTGTTTGATTTCTGTTTCTCACAGGATTAGACTAGATAACTCCAAAAATCCCATCCACTCAAGGGCATCCTGAATTTTCAAAACAGAGACTTTTCCCCTCCCATCCACCAAAATATTAAGCTGAAATGGAAGTTGCATCTTTCACTAATTAGAATAGATGATGTAATTCAGAAAGCAGAGTTGTATGCTTCTGCCCAAATGATCTTATATCTGGCTCTCATACTCATTTTCTTTCCATTTTTGGATTGGAAAAATAGCATGCCAAATAAGGACATAGATTGTCCTCAAGGAATTTAATGGTGATCAAGAAAGAGATGGTATTAAGCTGGCACCCCCTTCTTCAAGTTTCTGATTTCAGGAATAAAGCCTTTGTAAGCTGAGCACCTGAACTGGGTTTACCCACTCCTCAGTGTAGGTTTTTCTTTCAGAGCCCAGCCATACAATACTATATGAAACCATAGAACTGTTATTGATGGTGAATTCTTACTCCTTCTCCATAGAAGACATTTCTGGATCATTGTAAAGGCAGCTAGTTCTGAGTGCAAAGGAAAAAAAAAAAAACAAAACAAAACAGGAAGCAGTGAACATTTTCTCCACTGGTACCATTTTGTAAATACAACATATTTGGGTATTTAAAACTGTTTAATATGGTCCCATTGCTAAAATTGAGCAAATCTACACTGAACACATGATGAGATGTAGTCTTGATTCTTCTCCTTAGTTTTGAAATATAGTAACTGCCCATAATTTAGAAACAAAAGGAAGATTTGTATGCTCAGTGGTCTATTTGGTCCTTGTCATTTTCCCCGTCTTTTCAATCTATCTGATGCAGGGAACATAATAGTACAGTTTTATTTGTAACCCAAACAATATAATATTTTATACACAAAGGACAATCCCTCTCCAGCAGCCTAGTTTTATTTACATATGAACACAGTGGACTTTTGGTTTTCAAAAAAAAAAAATGAGGTTTTTCTTAAGCACTAAAGGGAAAAATGCCAGTGTCAGCATTCTCTTTGTTGCTCTTACAGAAAAATAATAGGACACTTACTACCACACAGCTGACTTGTTTTCAGGTGATACAAATGAATCCTAGCACAGCCTAAATTGAAAGAAAAATGTCACCATATAAACTAAAGTTTTGTTATGGTGTATGATTATGTATTGTTAGTGCTTTTGATAGTCCATATTTGTGGAATTCCTCTGTTAACAAATTTCAAATTTGCTTTGCATTAATTTCCTATTAATACTTGCACATTTCAATCTGGTAAATATTCTGTTGTTGGCAAACAAACCCTACTTAAAGGGATTCTATGAGACCTTTTTTAAAAATGAGAGTCCTTGTGGTGATGGTGCATGGGTGCATTGGGGAAGGAAAGTCTATGGGGACTATACCTGGGGTGGAGGGAGGGGGAAGAAAATATTGTTTAAAAATGAACAATGATGTAAAAAATAAATAAAAATAAAAAACAAAGAATAAAGTAAGGAATGAAATAAAAAATAAAAAGGAGAGTCTTTTTGTAAGGTGAATCGTTTCACAAACTAATTTATCTATTTGCAAAGAAGAGGTTCAGTTATTAACCTTTTCATTTTGCTGAAAACTGGAGAAGACTATCTCCCAGAGAAGGGCAGAGGGCTGTTCCCTGTCTCTCCCTCTTCCCCTTCTCACTGGTGGTCTGGTCTTTTATGGAGGATATTTGGCAACTCTGAAAGCCAGGACAGTTAGGCAAGTGTTGACAGTGTGCTAGGAAAACCTAGCAAAGCTGGAATGGAAGCAAGAAAGGGCAATCGTCCAAACCTAGCTTTTCTGTTTTTTAACTTTGCATAATCCTTCCAAAAAAAACAGCAATTTGCAACTTATTTAGTACTGTCAGGCTAAAGACAGCAGATGGATATGTCACCATTTTCAAAATAAGAATGAGCCTCTATAATTTATCCTTCGAAAGTATTTTCTTTCCCATATAGATTTAAAGTTTTAAGTAAAAAATAAGGCAGTCTGAAGAAATCACCTTCTGAAAGTTAGAGGTTCACACACATGTGTAGAGGGGGAATGTTTAAAAACATTAGTGGGAATAAAGTAAAACAAAAGTCTGGCAAGGTATATGCCTGCTTTTGGTGAAGACAGTCCACAGTTTTCTATAAAGGTCACATGGAAAGTTAGGGCTGTTAATAGAAAGAACCAGCATATCTGGCTTCTAGATGTTAATCACAGATTAGCAGTGATCATGTTTTCTGAACCAAAAAGCGTCATAGGGAGTCCGTTCAAGGATCTGGGGACCATATCAGAGCCTGAAAGTCAGTGGAGATGTAGATAGTATGCCAGAATGGTGGGATTCAAAGCGTTTCAATCATCTGCAGGGTCAAGAGAATAAAATTTTTTCTTCTTACACATTTTCAAACGTGCAGACACATTTTCATTCTGTTTACATATAGTGTCACAATCAAGAGAAATAGGATCAAGTGGAAGAGAATTCAGATAGGTGACTGAATCCAAAGCAAGACCATAGGCCTTAAAGACAATCTATTTTTATTTAGCCTTTACTTTAAGATGGCAATTCTCAAAGTGTGGTTCCAACATAAGCCTCAAACTCACATGGAACTTGTTAGAGAATGCTGAGCCTGAGGTTCCACTCTGGGCCTGCTAGACCAGCAACTTTGGGAGCAAGGCCCAGGATTCTGTGTTTTAGAGTGCTCCAGGTGATTCTGATGCACAATAAATTTGAGAATCACTGTTCCATGGCAATGATCAATTTATGCAGCAGAAATTTACTGAGCATCTACTGTGTACTAGGCATGAGCTTGGGGCTTCCCTTAGAAAGGAGAACAAGACTTCTCAGCACTACCTGAGACTATCACATCCCTGGGGAGAGGGTCTGTGGCAGTGGGGAAGTGAACACAAGGAAGGACTTGAGAGGAAAAAAGGTAAAGCTAAACAACTAAACCAAAAAAGTTAGCTAAACAGGAAGAGTAGAAACATGGAGGGAAGAAAATCTACCGAAAGAGGCAAGATTTCATGGTAATAGTGAAAAACGTAACAATGTGACTTTATAATAGGTTTGGTCAAAAAATTATCAAGTTTCTCCCCCACTTATATTTTGTTTGGAAAATAGCTCTTTAATTCCATAAGTACATTATCATCCTCAAAAAACAAATCTGAAAGAGAAACTCATTGAAGTTTCTCTCTCTGGGGACCCTTAAGGCACAGTGTCATCGAGTATTGATAAATGCTAAAGGCATTTATCTGTTTTGTAACACCAAGAGACTAAGAAGAATGTTCAGAGTACAAATTTATATAATTTTGAATATTATTTGTCTGTATAACTCAAATTATCCTTAAATGACAGTAGAGGACAGGGATATTTAACAGTAAACTGCACTAATACTAAACTTTCTAAAGCAAAAACCTTTTCTCAAGCTTTTAACTTTAAAGATTGACACCAGAGGCAAATATTTCTACAGATTATTGTGATTTTTTTTTATCATGAGAAAAAAATTCTCTTAATGAATTGCTTTAATGAAGAATTGGCATTTACAATTATGTAGGAAAAGCTTCACTAATTTAGACCTTATTTTTCAGAATTTGTAGCTGTTGGATATTATCCAATTTTTCTGCTTTTGCAATATCTATTTAAATGGGAACTGACTATAAAAATTAGCAGTGTAAGCAATACTTGAAATGGAGAAGTGCAATACAGAAAATATTCCAAATGGAATTTGTTTATATTTAATATATAGTGTCAGAAAAAAATACTTGTAACTTGGAAACAAGAAAAGGGAACTACTGGATGTTCTTTCAAAAACGGGTAAATTGACTTTCTATTGATGAGATATTTCACAACTCTGTAGGGGCAGGGACTAACTTCTACATTTCTGTCAAGCAGAGATGCAAATAATTTTTTCCAGTAGAAAAGATAACCTTAAGGTTATATTTTGTGGCCCTGTTGGACATTACTCAGTTTTGTATCTAAACTATCTTATCCTAAAATTCCTTTATAAATTACTCAGAGATATCTAGCTTCTCAAATCCTCTTTGAACTGATTTTTACAACTTACTGATTCTCCCATTAAATAATTAGTGGATAATTAGTGGAATAAAATTACTGACATGTGTTTATATTTGCATTAAATTAACGATTTTGTCTTTTTGAAAATTATACTTTAACAGTAGTGAGCAAAGATTTTTTTCCTATTTGTTCAAGTAGCTCAGAAGCTAAAAGCAGCACTTCCATGTCACTAAATAAGGTATTTTAAAAAAATCTTGGGAAGTCATGAGGAAAATATTGATGTTTGTTGGCCTAATTGATCTAACAATTATCTAGACATTATACTATATAAGTGGCAGTGCCTGCGATGTCTTTTTTGCTAAAACTGCATGTATATTACAAAAAAGTTAAACAGCATTAGCAAATACATTCCTCTGGGTAGCAAAGATCTGGGGGAAAATATATCATAGTATGAATAATAGAGATTGCATCTATCTGGAACAAAGGTAATTTTATAAATACAGCATTATTATCAGGCATAAAAAAACACCAGGCATGCAGGTTCTTCCACTACATTCCTGAAATGCAAGCCAATATCACACCAGCCGCTGAATGAAAACCAAATCTTACTTAGCTGCTTCTGATGCCTCCCTCAGTTCTTCATCCAGTCTGCATGAGCAAAAATTATCGGTGTAGAAAAGAAACAAAAGGAAGCAAGCAGAGCGTGAGAGAGTCATTCAGCAAAGCAGAGCCAAAGATAAGTGGAGTGTATATGCTTTTAACAACCATCTTCTAGAGCGCTGAGACTCACTCCTTCAATTAAATATGATGCCATTTCCTCCCATTCAGCCTTTATGTATGTTTACTTTGCAATTCCTTCATAAAGGTAGCTATAAAAGTTGCAAGGAGATCAGAACATGCTGGCTGAGTAAGCTGAGACATCCACATGGTTCGGATGGGCACAGCTAAAGTTAGCTTGCAGCCTGGGCCAAGTCAGGGATGTGTCTGGTTTAGTGGGTTTCAGTTGCAAATTATTGTAGGTTGACCTCAACAGCTTTACACACAAGACAAAGACCTGGAATGGCATACTACAAGGAACAGAAACAATGACCTCTTGCTCTGGTAGCGTGTTGAGGTCACCCACGAGTAAAACACTGGCGCACACATACAAAGGGTCCAGCATGGAGTGCAGATGGGGAGATTTTACCTCACACTTCTCTTAAAAGATCTTTCTTCATCGTACCTTATGAGATAAAAAGCGAATGCAGTGAGGAAAACAAACAGATGGGGAAAATAACAGGTAAAGAACAATGTTTTAAAGAACAATCAAAACATGAAGGAAGAAGCTTACCCAAATAATAACAATGGGAAGAAATCCTATTTTCATGGGATAAAATCAATGATTTTGAATTTATAATGATGTATAGCCAAACTTCATTATTTGCGGATTTCATGTTTGCAAATTCTTTCACTTGTTAAACTTTGTTGATGACCCTCAGAACACCCCCCAAAGCATTTTTAATTGCCCCTTGCACACATTCAAAGAGTGGCAAAAAATTAAATTCATCTGACATGCGTGTCCCCAGCTGATGTGGAACAAGGTGTGGTTCTGCCTTCTCAGTTCTGTTCTCATATTGTCAACAAGTGTCCTTTCTGCAGTCTATTTAGTGCCATGTTTTCTGATTTGTGCTTTTTTGGGGTGATTTTACTATTTAATATGGCCCCCAAACACAGTCTGATATGTTGTCTACTGTCCCTAAATGCAAAAAGGCTGTCTGTGCTTCTCAGAGAATATACATGTATTACATAAACTTCATTTAGGCGCGAGTTATAGTACTGTTGGCTGTGAGAGCAATGTTAATGAATCAACTATGTACAAAACAAGGTGTCTTTAAGTAGAAATACACATGATAAAAGGTGAAATATTAATTGGTCAACAAAAATGTGACCAGAGGCTCATAGATATCTAGCCCCATATTCTCCCCCTAGAACAATGGTTTAGCATATGTTATTCAGTGTTACAGAAAATCACTGCCGCAAATGACAAAAATTGACTGTAATCAATGACTATACGTATCTTTCCAGACTGAGCAATTTTTTGTCTCACTTAAGCCTGATTGATGATTAGTTCTATTCCAGCTGATTCCTGGTTTTGAGATTGGTTGAGATTAGTTCATCTGAATGTTTTCTGCAATAGGAAGGAGCTATAACTTGTTTCCATTTAAACATGGCATAACATGAAAACAAGGAATGAGAGCCATAGCAGAAATGGCAGAAGGGCTTCCAGAGCACATGGATTACAAAAGACAGGAGAAAACATGGGCACTTGGGGAGGACAGGCAGGTTGTACATTTCTTCCTCCAGAGGAAAATCTTTCCAAATGGAACCATTCTTCCAGAAGTTATTTTTCTTAAATTGGAGCCCTTGAATACTGAGGTGTGTAGATGAATGAAAGGGCCATGGGCATGTTATTCTTCTTATTTAATTAAATGTCCCCATAAGATAGTGAGTCTCCAAAAACATGATTATAATAAATAACATGCTGGATTGTCAGTCCTGTGTCAGGAAGCTTCCTGAATGCTTTATGTACCTTGTTCTCACTCACTCTCAGAACCACTCCAAGAAAGCATGCCTTCCTCCCCCGTCTTATAGGCATTGTAGCTTAAAAGATCATAGAGTTTTAATAGGTTGCCTGAATTCTCTGGGACAGTATAAGGCAGGTGGGAAGGTTAAATCTAAAACTGAGCCTATAAAACCCATTCCCCTTTCTTTACTCTGTTGCCTCCAACTGCCAAATAGTGGAAGCATGACTACATTTACCTAGAGTGGTCAGGACTTATTTACAGTTGGAGAAGTTCTTGTACTCTTTTGCAAAAGGATACAGCATTATGGAGGTGAGTGCCCCAGTTTTTTTCCTTTAAAGACCAGGAATGGATTTGGGAAATGGGGGTGCATATTTCTGATTTCCATGGAACAGGCATGAGCATGGGCATGCTGTTTGTGGGGATGCTATGAAGCTAGTGAGGACTGAAGTGGTTGTTAGGATCTCAGGAACACACTGCTTCATTCAGTTGTGCCAACTGGCTGGTCTAAGCCCAGTCAGTATCCTGGGTTCATGCCGGATACTTGGACGTTGGGAAATCAAATGCATGGACTCCTGAGCTTTGACTTGAGAGAGACACGTGAAGGGAGGTAAAGAAATCTACTACTAAAGGACATGGGGATTTTGGTGCCTGGCTCACCTGGATTTGAACTCTAGCGCCATCTTTTCTTGGCTCCTACTTACACTTTGTAAGGTACCTTTCTTTACTAAGTTATCTTCCTTTATCTATAAAATGGGGATTTATTCTGGGGATTACATGAACAATATAGAGCACTTTTATGTCCAGCACAGCATAGACAGACACCAAATAAATTTTTTCTTTCCAGTTTCTTTGTGTTCCCACCCTCACCCCCCAAAGGACATTTTTTAGAAGCCCAAATTGATAGGTTCATTTTACTATTATCTTATGGAGGAATATGAGGTATGATTGTCTGCTTTTTTTGAGTTGATGGTTACATTCCTCTCAATTCTAACCAAATAAGAAAACAACAACAAAACCAATTCCACATGAAACAATGGTTCTTCACTACAATGAACTAAATAGGAGGGTTCATTTCTCAGTATCCATGTTTCAAAGTCTCAGCTCCAACTGGTTGTTTAGTTAATTCTGACTTGTTTTTACAGCACTTCCTGAGACCATTAGTATCTATACTGTCCCCTTACAGACTCCTGCTACATTACCCCACACTGATAAAGAAATCAGTCCTAACCACACTGTCCACTACTGGGCAAACCACCTTCTGCCTAACCATGCACCTGAAGTGAAGCATGAAGTAAAGGACTTAGAAGTTAACAGAGAAAGGGTCATTTTCTGGGGTCATTTTCCTGGGGTTACACAGACACATTACTTCATAAAGACAGTAAGATCCCTGCCTATGTGTAGACCCTACAGTGACTGCGTGTAGTGGGAGACCAGTAGCGGATGTACTGATGAATGTTAAACTTATGCTTATCCCACGCTGGTAGTAAAATTCACCATGAAAATGAGTGACAATCAATAACCCTAAGAGAAATTTGTGTGAGAGAGGATCTGAAAGAATAGGACAGTTACCTGCAAGTTGTAAGAAAAAAAAGTTTACAGGAAGATACTGAATGTTTGTTATAATTCTATTTCCCCTATTCCTTCATTTAAGATAGGAGTTCTTTTCCAATCTCCTTCTCCACACATGCATTATTTCATACCAAACCTTCAAATCAGGACTTACTTGATGATGCTTTCTGGGATATGGATGCAATCCATTGGGATCAGCCCACTGAGCTCAGATAAGCTACTGACATATTTAATTTTACTGCTGAATTTTGAACTAAAAAAAAAGGATAAAGGGAAAAAGTACAGCATTAGTCACTCCATACCTGCTAAGGCAGTGGCATCTTCTTGAAGATTCTAATACATTTACCACCTTGCCCAGGTACCCTTATTAAGAAGAACTATTTCAATGGTTACTAGATGCCAGACATTTTAAGCGGATTATATACATTTGCTCCCTTTTTTCTTGTGTGAGGTATGTGCTCTTAGTATTATCTTTTAATATATATACAAATTCTCTCTTGACTTAACCCAGGCAGCCTGACTGCAGAGTCCACTCTCTTGACCATACATGACGTGGATGGCACATGCCATAGTGAATAAGTTACCAGTTTATGATTTTTTGGCTTTGCTTATTTCATTTTCATGAACAGAAATTTCATCATTAGTTCTTTAAAAATCAACCAACACTTACATGTTTCTTTCTTTTTTTTTTTAAGATTTGTTTATTTTCATGCATACAAGAACTGGGGTATAGGCCAGAGGTGAGGAGGGTGAGAGGATTCACCAGAGACAGAGTGGGGAGCAGAACAGGCAGACTGAATAAAACACACTGCTGAGTGAGCAGTGGGCGGGGCGAGACAGGAGAGGCTGCTGCACCATGTGGGTTGCTCCCTGGCCTGCTGGGGATTGAACTTGTGCTGCAGTGGCTGCGGATACCTTCATAGTGCTGTGCTTAACCCCTTGCGTCACCAGGGAGGCCCCCCAACATTTACATGTTTCAAAAGTGTAAGTAATATTCCTCTTTTTTTTTTTTAGCATTAGCTTTATTTTAAATAGTTTTTATTTATTTATTTTTCTTAAAGTTTAAGTTTGTGGGTTCATTCCAGATGGACCAATGTTCAAAAAAGCATTCCAGTAATTGGATTTGAGTTACAAATGGAGTTTATCTAAATGTTATCCTTATAGGTGTATGTAAATGCATAGAAAACAAATTGGAAGAATACCTCTGAAACATTTAAAAGAATTTGCCTCTGGGGAAGAGGGTTAGTTAGAAATAGGAATTGGTAGTTTTTGAATGAAGAACATGTTCTTACTTATAATAAGTGCATGTTTTATCAGAAGAATATAGTTTTGTATTAGTGGGGTAATTACAGACCAAATTTTTAAATGTATCATTCCATTTAAAAGGAAACTCAGTCAAGCATCAAACTTTCTTGAATGATTTCAAATGTAAAGCCCTCCCCAGTCCACTAGGATCATGCTGAGCTGTCTGCCAATGGCACTGCCTAGCCAAATAATATGTATTTTTTAAATGTCTGAACAAATACCAGACACAAGAATATTTTGTGATATGTAAAATCTCTCAGGTAATTCAATTCCCAGCAATTATAAAGTTTTATCAGGACACAGTCACACATATTATCTATGACCATGCAGTTGTGATGATTTTGTCATGCAGTTGTGATGCAGTTGTGATGATTTTGAAGGTTTGGTAAGACCAAACGGCACACAGAACCTAAAATATTTACTATTTGATCCTTTACAGAAGGAGTTTGGCTGGCTCTTGCTTTAAACAATTAATATTTGGCATCACTGAGCCTCAGGGTTTGCTTTTGTTTTTTCTTTTTGGAAACACTAAACAGCATTTCTTTTAGAGCACTGTCATTAGGACTAAATGAAATAATACATGTAGACACTCAATAAATGTAAGCCATTATTATAGATAATTTGCCACACTACTTGCCATAATATTATTGTTATTGCTATTCTCTTGAACTCCCTTCAATAAATTATGTTGAATTGTTATCATTTCACACTATCATTTATAGTAACAGATATTTTATTACTTATCAAGAAGAAAAACATTTTATAAGCAATGAGTTATTAAACAAACATCAATGAATCAATACCAGCAGCAATGTTTACTTTTTTCCCCATTACATTTTTATAAGCGCATCAGAATTGATTCCTGCTACTTTGCCAAAACATTTTCTGCTATTATTGAGATAAATGGACTTTGTGTATCTTAAATATTTCATGTTAATTTTTAAAGCAATTCAGTATGGTGATGTAAAGAGTTAACCTTTGCCAGAGAAAAATTAGGTTGAATCCTGCAACTCCATTGTTGGAAGTAAGGAATGATGATGTTAAATAAATATAATCAGTGAACCCTGATCAAAAAAGGTAGAGTCTGGAAGGCATAGTAAAATCTATGTAATAAAATATAAAGGATCTTGGGCCTCCCCTGGTGGCGCAGAGGTTAAGTGCTGGGCTACGAAGCTGCCCACAGCTTCTGCAGTGCGGGTTTTATCCCTGACCTCTGGCGAGGGTCCCACAAGACATGACAGACCTCTCCTGCCACGCCCACTGCTCCCCTCAGCAGTGTACTTCGGTCCTTCTGCCTGTTCTGTTCCCCGCTCTGGCTCTGGTGAATTCTTTCACCCTCTCGCGCTTCTGACTGTACCCAGTGCTTGAATAAATAAATAAATAAATCTTATATATATATATAGGATCTTAATCCTTAAATATTTTCCCATAAGTAAAATTATCAGAATTTTTGTGCTTCATTAATAACTTTGAGATGGAAAATTTTCAGTTTACCTAATCTATATTTGATGTTAGGCAAGAATTTACTATACTTTTAAAGCTGTCTAGAAAATACATACTGTTCCTTTTATTTCACTGTTTCAAGTGCTACTATATTGAAGCACATCTTCCTTTCCTTTGCATTCTCAAAATGTAACTTAATGCAGCAACTCACACAAAATACATGATGAAAAAATATCCACCAAATTGAACTGAGTTCAAACTAAGAATCCATACAGGTGATTAAGACAAAGCCTTCAAAATGGTTGCACAAACTCTTTGTCTCACTTTGGTGACCTACATGATATTTCCTCAGAAGAAATGGAACAATTAAGACAAGACATGGCTCCTGTTTCTGTGCTTTGTTACCCTTTGTTTCCCATTGTCATGCTACTCTACCTTTTCTATTCACTAGAAAACACTATCACTTTAAAAGTATTGTCTAGTCCCTTTTGTAATGTGGCATGGAAACTCCACTCCTTCATTTTCTATGTTTATAGCAAGCAATATAGAGGTTGTGCTTTATAATAATGCAGGAGGAATATTCATTATGAATGAATGCTCACTCTTAATCAGAATCTCTTGCTGGATAGTCCAAGGAAAGGCATAATACAAATATATTTTCCTAAATACTTTCTTAGTTTTCAGTCCTTTTACCGTAATGAAAACCATACCTTATGAAAGGTCGTGTCACTGCAAGGATTGTTCTGATGAACCAAGATGGATGAACAATAATGAATGATTTCAAATTCTTCCGCAATCTGTTTTGCAAAAAGAAAAAAGAATTACTCCTAATTCAATTTCAGTGGGAATTAAAGCAGAAGCAGAAAATATGTCTGAAATAAGAATATACATATAATGTTAGAGAGTTCTAGGCAAGTCCCCTTCTGATGGGAAGATTCAGAATGACCATGATTAATAAAAATAATGCTTTTTGAGATATAATTTGAAACTTGTATGATTCAAACCTCATTTCCCCATAAAACAAAGTAACATAGAGTGGCTGTCTCTTTAGTATGCATACATCTATCACCATCAAGGCGTATGTTCAATGATGCTTTTCATTTTTATTTGTATGATCTTTACTATTTACAAATACAGTCTTAAAAGCCACTTGGACGCTTTATTTGATCTTTCAGAGTCATAGTTTATTCTTCTGTGTGATTGTAATAATAGTAGTATATCACTGGCTGTTGACCATTGGATGACCACTGACTGCTCCTGATATTCAGGCAGGCATAGCTTTAGTGATGTTACTTTTGAGTTCTTGGGTCATTAAACAATTTCAGTTAATGAAAGAGGATACTCACACATTGTTATGTATGGAGTCACATCTAAGAAGATGCCATACATATTGTAGGAAATTTTTTATTATTATTACAACTTGTGTTTTAATAAATTTCTATTATCACAACAAGTTGTGTTCTAATCAAACAAGTATGGATGGAAATGAAATATCTTGAGGAAGGGACCCACAAAGACATCTGGATTCATGGTTATCTTGAATTAACAATGAGTGTTGAAATAAGAGCATGATGGTGGCCCAAATCACAGCAGTCCTAGTGCATACAAACAGCAGCACATTCACAAGATACCTCATGTGACAATAGGAGATAATAGTTTAAAACAGATTTGGTCTCCAGGTGTAAGGCTACAATAGTTAACAAAATCTGGGGAAGATTTGCTTTATTTCAAAGTTGGGACAACAAGTGACACTATTATTAATATTTTATAATTTATTATTTCAAATCTGTATAATTTAATGTTCCTAAAATGTTTTTGCATTTTTGATACACTGAAAGTTAGGTAGGGGGTTATTAAGGAAGTCAAAATAGGGATTAAATAATGGAGCCCACATACCGTCTATCAATCATCTGGTAGCACTTCTTCATCCAGCCTAGCCCTGGCATCTTCCGTCTTGGGGTTGCACCATTCAAATACACAATCATATAGTCTTCAGCTACCATCAACTCTAAAGTACTTATTACATATCTGATCACAGGAAGGAAGAGGAGTGTTTTCAGTTCCCACATGAAATACTTCATCTTATTTACAACATAATTATATAACATTTAAATTACAGGGTGTATGACATCTAAGAATGGTTGTGCACATTGCCTCTTCACCTTGAGAAGGATGCAGTTACCTAAAATCACTTTTCTGACAGTGAGTATTGCTCACTTATTTATACAGCTATCTCTGTCTCTCTCTCTTACTCTCTCCCATACCCTCTCTCTTTCTAATGTAGTATCTTAGAAATATGTGAATTAGAAGTCTGACTTTCAAAATTATCAAGTGTTATCATATATACATATATAATATAAATTAATAGCAACTAAGATTAGTTAATGAGAAATATAAATGAAATCAAGTTATCATCAATTGACTAAGAACATGTTATCAGAGAACAAAAACAAATTTCACCTAAAGGAAATATTACAGAATCAAAAAATCCCAACCAAATTGTGTTCATTTGTTTTCAATCCATTCTATTGACAAAAGGGTTCCTCTAAAGGTTTTAGCCTCTTAGCAATGTTTCTTGACAAAGATTTCATTGACTTTTTATCAAAGACTTAGAATATTCTATATCCTCTATTTCCTTTTAATAATGATGCCCTAGCTGCCATTACATGCCCACAGACATTAACTCAAAGCACTTTGTAGTAAGCATCACTCACAGGAAAAGATTTTCCATGACATAGTGGTAATCCGCCCGATTGCTGTCTGGCAGAAAGCAGGCAGCAAACACAATGATAGCATTGAGACCGTCCCCATAGTATCCTGGGGGACAAACAAGAAGACATTTGTAACCAATTGAAAGATCTTAACAAGATACTACTTAACCTAAAGGATAAATCTGGAAGCCTTGGCAAAGGAATGTGGATGTAACACACAGATCTTTAAACACTTCTGCAAATATCACATATATAATTATCTTTCAATGATTGATATACATGTTACAGAGTCTTGAATATGGATAGTGTGAATATATTTTTATAATAGTGTTTCTATATATTATAGATACTTAGAGTTTTGAATGGGGTAGATATACATTCAACTTACTTAAGGAAGAGGAGCCACACTTTTTCATTGATGTGTTTCTAATTTATATAATACTTCTTTCCTTTAATCACTAAAAAATGTCCTATTTGATCCTCTTTAGCTTTTTTAGTATTACAAATCAGTTAATTTGAAGGTAAAATGTAGTCACTGCACTGCAATATCATCTCACACTCACATATTCTAGTGACCAGATACCAGTAAGTAGACAATAAAACACCTTTACTTTGACTTCAAGGCCTAATGCATTTGTCTGTAGTGTTGCTGGGATCTCCAGATTCAATGGGAAGCAGAGGGTATGTGGAAATTTCTGGTCAGGCCTAGCATAACTGTGCATAGAATTCAGAGCCTAGTCTCTTAAGAATGGTGCAAATTTAAGAAGACCCTGGTAATAAAATCTGTCTCTTAGTTTTATGAAAATACGTGCTTTGGGGAAAGCCAGGAAATTACTTCCAGGAAACAGGGGTAGGGCAGAACCACTATTTATAGTTTGTAATGAGAAAATAAAAAGTTGTAGGCAGGTGTGGCCATCAAAACTCCATAGTCAAGGAGAAGGTAGAGTTATCTCAGGTCTTGTTAGCCACTGTTAAAAGTTCTGCTATAATTGTGGCATTGCACCTTCTTTGAAACTGAGCTCATCTTTGAAATTCATGCTAGATATTGACCAGATCCTCATAGGTTTGTATACGGAGTCTCGTGTGTCTTCCAAGCTTCAAAATGTATTTTTGTGTTTTAATGTGCCTTTTTAAACACTCACAATTCTCACAGTTATTGTCATATAATACAGTTTTGGACTTTGAAATCATTAGACAAAGATTTCCTCAAAGCTTTGAGTAGGAGGACAAGAGACACCCTCAAGCCTGGTCCAGCCCTCTAGAATGCAGTGTGTTTCATTCCTACATGGCTCTAAATATCCGTCTGGTGATTACACGGCACTAAAATACTGGCTGGATATGCACGTGGATCGGTTTACCTCTTGAAAAGCAGTTTAATAAGATGTTTCTCTACAAATATAGAGAGCATGACTCTCCCACACACACACACAAAAAAAAAGGTGGGGGAAGAGAGAGATACTAACTGAAAATATATCAAATGATGGGTTTGTGCTATTAGTCTTTGAAGGCTGTTATATACAGTGTTTATGCCACATCTGAGAAGATGCTATCTATGTATCCATACACCTGATGCAACACATTTTGGAAATAGCTTCCCTCTAGATTTTTTTCTTTAGCTCCATTTTCTCCTCTATGTAGGTATTTAACAACTTCTTTTTAGACTTTCTCTTTATGAAAGAGGCACATGTAATTTAATATATTACATGTTTGTTCCACTCATTTAAGAAGAATCATAACTGAATGTAAATATACAAAGGATAGGGTATTTTAACTACACTAATCCTAAACCATGAGGGTATGAATTTACACTCAGCACAATGAATAAGATCGAGTTCATTAAAGGAGACAGTGGATGTAATGAATCCAACTTAACAAGTATGAAAGCATCCTACATGCAGCTGCCTGGCTTCAGGGTGTCAGAATAATTTCAAGATCATGATGGTCCTATTACTTTATTTTCTTTCAGTATTTCTGGAGAATTTCTAAGAAATTGTTTCAAAAAGGAAAAGCTGAAGATTATAAACGTTACTTCAGAAGTTATCTTAAAAGGCAGTTTAGCTCTGTGCTGATGCTCTGTCCTTGGAAGGATGTGGTGTCACTGTCACTAGAGTTCATTTACCATGGAATACTCAGAGATCAACTTACCATTTCCTGGGTCATTCTCTTTATACAAAGAGAATGTCTTTATACAAAGGAATGTCAGGACTGTCTCTTTATAGAAAAATTGCTGAAATTTACAAATGAAGATTTTTTTGTGTGCTTTTAGGTGGGAGAGCTATAGGAAGGAGAAATAGGAAGAAAGAAGGGAAGAGGATATAAGAAAGGAAATAGAACAAAAAAAAAAAACTCTCATGAAAGCTTTCCTTCTAAATCAAGAGCCAGTGCCACTGACATTGGATTTTGGAAATATTTCAGATGATAATTGCTGGCAAGGTGCAATTAGAGTGAGCATGCCCATTTGCTTTTCTTCCCTGGCAGGTACCTTCAAGGTGAGTCAGCTAACCCATTTCTAGCCTAAAAATACAGTGCACACAAGCAAAGTTGCCTGTCAGCAATTGCTTTTGAAGTTTGTTTGTTTGTTTGTTTTTTAAGACATATATTTATTAGGCTTTCTTCCTAATAACCGTGAGGGGAACTCAGGGTGTGTATGTTGAGGTGCATAAGCATTCCCACTGCGGTGCCTCCTGAGACCCTCTGAAGCAATGATACAAACCTTACCTGAGGCAGAACACAGAGGCATGAAAGGGACGGAACACAAGTTTGCTGGCCAGCAAATGGAATGGAGGGAGAAGAAAAGATGGCACAGTCGCAGCACACGTGCACACGCACGCACGCCCACACACAAACACACACCCACACACACCCTAGTCTGCAACTCTTCTCCTCATTCTTTCCAGGTTCATTTGTCCAGTAACACTGTAGAGTAGGTTACCTGAGTCTCCTATAATGAAACAAGAGAAGTAAAGAGACAAGAAAGGAAAACTCCTTGTTAACAATGCTTTGGCATGACTGTTCTTGGTTATTTAAAGGCAGTCTTTGCTCCAAGTTCAAAAAAGTTGGTTCTGGCCTCCAAGTAACCCACACTGTTGAAAACCACCCAGACCTTTCTTTGCTTTTTATTTAAGCAGATGCAGGTGTATAGCTCATGGGCTCATAGAAGGTGGCCTAGGAGGGTGAGATCACACCCTCTTTTGACTGATGAAGTAATTGAGGCTTAGAGAAGTTAAGGGAGACACCAAGGTCACAGATTAAAATGGGACTTTAATCCTGTTTTCCTACATTGTATAAACAGCCTCTGCCAATGACTCATATTGAGGTCACCAAAGCAGAATTATTTGTTTAAATATTACTCTCTGGCACTGATATTCCCAACTGGTGTGCACCCCTGGCAGGCCTGACATTGTGGTGAACTGAGGCAGCTCTCTGAACCACCCTGATTTTGCAGCTGTGCAGCACAGAACACTGTGTAGCTTGCACCTTCCTATTAGCCTGCATGGGAAAACTCCCTCCTAGCACAATGTGAAACACCAGAACAGGACCTGTGCTCACTATGGAGGGCTGTTTTTTCAACGTTCATTCGAAGCTGGGACAACCAAATCAACAGACTGGCCACTGGGAGTATTGCTTGTTCATCATGAATGTCTAGGAAAGTGGTGTGAGCTTTAGCACAGCAGACAGCTTTGGCAAATTCAGAAGGAACATTTGAATTATCTGCGCCTGCAGAGCACAGAAGTTGTCCAGGGTATAGGAAGGGTGGCATCTTGTTAGCATTTCAGGAGGGCGCAGCCAGGGGCACACTCATGCAGGCCAGCACCTGGAGCAGGCCAAGACAGGGTGAGGAGAGGAGAGGGGGTCTTCCCATCCAAACAAACCAGAGTCACACAGACAAAAGTCAGGCTCACAACACAGGATGGAGGGGAGCAAATGCAGCAGGGACGTGGGCACAGCAAACCAGGTTATCCCTGAGGCATCAGCTGAGTGTTCAAAAGGAAAGTGTCAGGCAGAAGCAGGGGGTTGTCTGACCCTCACGTGCTGTGATAATCACTCTGGATCTGAACAACAGACTGACAGGCTCAAACCACATACCCAAGTCACTTGATTCCACTGTGGCTGAAAGAACAAGTTGGTGAGTCTATTGGAGTAAGAGCTCACCTGACCCCAGGCCGCAGTGAAGCCTGTCTTCTTCAGAAAAGGGGCTTCTTAATCTAAGACCCAGGGGTCAAAATTTATAGACAGCATCACTAGGTGACTTTGATGTACTTTTCTACATTTTTGTGTACTTTTTAGGATGGGGACAGGCTATTTTTATTTTCGATCTTTGTTTTGATTTCCAAAAAGCAAACACACCAAAAATAGCAGATGGGTGGAACAAAGGAGGTTTGAATCCAGGAAGATTTGGATGATGTTCAGGTGGTATTTTGCATTCTGAGAACAAAAGGGTTGACTCTATAGCAGACTGTCATCACTTTCAGGTAGATTAGGCCAGCTCTCAAGAAGTAATATGGGAAAGTTTTCCCTTAGAGGAAACTGCCCCAGGCCTCACAACAGCTATCATGGAGCTGTTTGAACATTTCTGGTTAAATAGTGAGGCAAAAAAAATTAAAAAGGAAGGTCATGGCAGGGGTTCCTACAGGAATCTTCCTTCCTTATCTTAGCAAGGCTAGTGTCTGTGGGTTGGTGCTGATACATGCAGGTAGCAATGCAAGGGTCAAACGTGGAAAATTGGATGGTGGAGTGAAGATTGATTGAAAAAATAAAATGTCCTTTTCCTTGTTAGCAAAACAAAAGCTAAGGGTTTAATGTAGCGCTAAGATGCTTATTTCCCTGTGCTTGTTAAGGAAGAGAAAGTTTAGAGAACAATGACTGCCTTGTCAGCTTATACTTTTTCTGGAACAGCTGAGTGGTTAGGGTGGCGCCTGGGGCCTGCAGGAAAGGAGTGCATGCAGCAGGAAAATAAAAAAGCTGTTTTGTTTTCTGAAGTTGACAATATTAAATGTGTTGCTTGTGCTCATCTGGCTTTTTGTGAGTCCCTACTAATCAAGGCTCCTGGAGCTCCAAGAAAGCACTGGGGATACAAGATACTGCTTCCCTCTCTCCCTTGTTCCTCAATGAGCAGGTGGAAGCTTTGGCTCCAGGCTGCTGTCAACTGGCTGTCAGGCTTACATGTCATGAAGTTTATAAAGAAGCAAACTTCAGGACCAAAAAATAGAACAACCAGGCTGAGTCTAAAAAGATTTCTAAAGCTTCTGAAGAGGATTCAAAAGACCATTTGGTAGTTAGAAGCACCCCTGCTATGGTTATCTCACTACTGCCCATGGGGGTACTGACTCTACAGTCCCCTGAACACTGACTGCAGAACAGGATCTCTAAGATGTCATTCTAAAGAGAACTCTTGTTGCTTTTTCTAGTTGAATTTTCTACAAAAAATACAGCTACTCCCTTCCCTACTCCCAGGATTAGCAGAGAGCTGGACTACCTCCATGAGAAATGACTCTCCTGTAGGGCTCGATAACCTTCATGTCAATCCGTTGCTCTTGCTCTCCAATCACCACGGTCCTCCACAACCGGTTGTCCTCCCGCTCTTCTTCTGCTGTATATTCTGGGATAGACTCTGACTCTTGGCCAGAATCTTTTTTTACTGGAGGATCCTCTGCAAAGGAAGCACAGAGAAGGCTGAGGAAGGAGACCTCCAGGGTTGAGGCAGTTCAACAATTAGCTACCTCTTGATAGAGACAACCTGATGGAACTCACTGATTTGTGTAGCTCCTGGAGAGATTAATGCCATCTTGATCACAAACAGGTCACTTGGTAACATCTAATTTATAGACTGATTAATAACTGAATCTTTAATAACTGAATCCACTGCGAAGGCCAGGCACAGGCATGGAGCTAGAACTGACTTGTGTCAGTAGTATGGACCATCTCATTCTTGATCAGACAGGGAAAGACTGCAGCATTTTTGATAGGGCAAAGGCTTTTGATAGGCCCAGATAATCTTGTTTTCCTTGGGTTACATCTCCTAATGTAACATGAGTGCTCACAGTGTTTTGTTTCTCTATATTCCTCAGCCTGGTCTTTTAATGATTTCACCAGCCTGGACCCTTGTCCTGAGGCCCTCACAATGAAACTGAACTCCCTTCCCTATAGGGAGCACATCTGGACTTAAATTTGGTATTACTTCCTATGGCTTTCTCAACCATGCTACAGAAAGATTTGGTAGTAAGAAGCAAAAAACTTTGTAGACCAGTGGTGCTCTAAGGCCAAAAATTCACCAAAATCTTATTTGTGAGTACATACAGCAATTAAAAAAGTCCAAGAGAAGTTTACTGTTTGCTCTTGTTTATCCAAAAAGCATAAGTTTTTTTTTTTTTTTAAGTTTTTTTTTTTTTTTTAAAGATTTATTTTTATTTATTTATACAAGCACTGGGTACAGTCAGAAGCGCGGGAGGGTGAGAGAATTCACCAGAGCCAGAACAGGCAGAAGGACCGAAGTACACTGCTGAGGGGAGCAGCGGGCGGCAGGAGAGGTCTGCGTGCCATGTGGGACCCTCCTCTGGAGGCCCAGGGAGCAGCCAGGGATCGAACCGGTGCTGCAGAGGCTGCGGACAGCTTCGCAACCCAGCGCTCAACCGCTGCGCCACTGGGGAGGCCCAGCATAAGTTTTTTTTAAAAGAAAAAGCAGCAGTTGTTTTGATTTTTATTTCAAGTATCAGAGAGGTTAATAATGGTTATTCTTTGTATGTCTATATAATTTAAGGGGAAAGATTATTGATAACCTTCAAAATAATTCTGTGAGATACTATCATTCTTATTTTCCCATTCATGGGAAAGCCCCTTTGTACTCTTTTTGTGGCACTTCAATAATAATAACAATAATAATAATAATAATAATAGTAATGGCATTTTATGAAGGATCTACCATGTTTCGGGTGCAGTAGTTGGTATTATAATAGACAAGACACTGATGTAAAAACTAACTCCTCAGTGGTCATCAGGTCACAGGGATAGTAAGAAAATATTAAATCTTACCTTTTCTACTCTTTTAAGCTATCACATTGTATCTTGATTATGTAATGTTTCACTTGAGCTTATTTTACTTTGAGGTTAGTTTCTTTCTTGGGCTAAGAAATTGTGCCTCTATTTATAATAGCCAAGATATGGAAACAACCTAATTGCCCCCAAATGGATGAATGAATCAAGAAGATGCAGTGTATATGCACAGTGGAATACTACTCACTAGTCAAAAAAGAAAAATTAATGTCATTTGTGGCAACATGGATAGAGCTCAAATGGATTATACTAAGTGAAATAAGTGAGAAGGAGAAAGATAAAAATTGGATACTTTCACTCCCATGTGGAATATAGAGAGACCAAATAAAAGGTCAAAGACAAACCTTGAAAGCTGAGGTATCTCCAGCAGGTGAGGAAAAGGGAGAGGGAGAGATGAAAACAAGATGGGGAAGAGCACATGAGACTATGACTAAGGCTATCAGAAGAAGGATGTAATAGGGTAGGAGCAAAGGGGAGAAAAGGGTCTAAAGGAGGATTACTGGAGCTGTCATGACAGTGTGGTGAAATAATATGCAATTGTAGAGACATATACTGTGAAGTAAATACATGACCACAGTGAAAAAATAAAATGAATTATATATGTAAAAAAAAGGAGATTGTGCCTGATCACCTTCAATATTCACGTCCACCTACCCATTCCACACTTAACTTGGAAACCTATACAGACCACTCAGTAACAATTAAGAGGCGAATGGGTAAATAAAAGAAAGTTTGGGCGAGTTCCCAGAAATACACCTTACCTATACAGGATCCATAACAAAGCCATTATGTTTCGCAAGATTCCGCAAGACATATTCAAGTGAATCTAATTACCTGTGACTTGGAATAGCAAAATGAAATCCAGTTGGGAAGCAATCCTAGCCTTTTTTGCCAACACCAACAGCTACCACCACCTCAGAGCCTTTCCTCACCCTGGCTTCCTCTGCCTTCCCATGGGCGCTCAGCAGCGTACTGATGGAAAGCAGCAATCTTTGGCTTTAGATCAAGCACGGTGACACTTGTGGAAATTCAACCATCTGCACAGGACCTCATGTCTGGAATCCCTTCCTGCTTCTCTCTCCCTACTTGAGTTGGGACGCTTGGATGCCATCCTAACTCCCTTCCCAGACCCTGTTTTCCATCTGGTCTCTGCTCCCTCACCACCCTGGGCTCTGATGTGGGTTTGTCTTCTGATACCTCTGTGCACACCTACTCTTTCCTATAATGAGCTCATCATCCACCAACCCCTCTTCACCCTGTTTGGGACTTTTTGACCTGCTCTGGCTGGACCCCTGTGATCTGTGTGAAGTTGTTTGTTTTAATTTCTGCCTATGTTTCTTAAGGCTTCTCCATTTAAAAAAAATTGTATACTGTATTCTTTCTTCCCACTAGAAGAGTAAAACACATAATAAAAGTACAAGCAATTCAGAAACTGTTCATGAAAACAGCATAAATGACCAATGCCACTCCCACTCATCACTGCCTGATGTGTATTCTTTCTATGTGTGTGACTACATGCATACTTTATTTACCAAAAACTATGCTTATTCCATATAGTCTGCCTGCTCCATATGTACTGTTGTACCACACACTATTATCTAAGAATATAGCATACGCTTCTCTTTGTCTCAGTGAAATTTCCATTTTTTTAATGACTTTGAGCTTACCAATCCCATAGTGATAAAAATTTAGTTCTGTTCCTTTTTGTTGCTCTTGCTCTTTATAAAGAATTTGCATCTTTGCGCAGGTTTTTTCTGACATCACTTGTGCACTGCTACAGTGTGCTGCATCAATGGGCATGTGCATGTGAGCCATTGCTGTTCTTGAATAGTCACACAAAATATGAACTTGTTTCCTCACAATGTCAAAAACACTGGAAGTTTCAAAGTTTTAAAAGTCTTTAACAATTTAGGGGGAAATTGTCTCATTGTTGTGTCAATTAGTACTTCTTTAATTATTAAATAAGTTAAGAATTTTCAAGTGTTTATTGTCCATTCATAGTTCAGTGATTGACAGGAGGCACCTGTTAAAAGTTCTTTGCCTACTGTGATTTCTTTATTGACTGATTATTGATTTGTTTGAATTCTTTATATAGAACTTTGTCATGTATTGAAAATATTTTCCTGCCTTATGCTTAGCTTTTAAATTTATATGGATATATTTTCAACTAGAAATTTAGTAATTTTATAGAAGTGAATCTATTAATTTTTGTCTTCATATTTTTGATTATTATATCATTGTAAGAAACTACACTTTTACCTTAAAAGTATGCATAGAAACACATCTTCTTACATTTTTATTTTAAAAACAGCATTATTATTCATTGGTTAGGGGTGGTACCATGTTCCTCACCCCCACTTCCATGCAGCCACATTGGACTGGTTACTGAGGGCAGAGCTCAGAGTCCTGTAAAGCTGTATAATGTGGAAGGCAGGTGGGCTAAGAAAGGCCTCTTGCTTCTCCAGCTTGGACTTGTACACAGGGACTTGAGGGACATAGGAGATGCACGGAGGAAAAACATGTAGAGACACTTGAAAGAGACACGTGGGTTAGAGACACATGGGAAGTCTGTCCTTGGCAGAGAAAATAGCAGCTGTTATCTTGATTTGCACTTTTATTTTTGGCACAGAATCGCCTGGCCTCTTTCTCTCCTTTCTTGTTACTCCATCAGAAGGTGACTTAGCCTTGTGGAAAGCTTTAGGGCCTCGGTGACTCTATTGAGGTCAACCCTGTTTGGCTATTTGTCCATGAGGGGATGGTAACCTTGGGGGTTTTATTGAAAAACTATTATTAGTTTTCCTCTCTTCCCTCTCTATGCATACTAATTCTATTAAAGATATATCACACTGTGAACCTGCTTTTGTCTCTATGTAACCCTATTTCAGAGTGTGCACAACATCTGTTTGGGGTCCCCGAGGACCCCTCAGTTGTATACTAACAGTTTGGGACCAGAAGTTGGAGGCTGGATCTTTTGATGAAGTGTTATTCCTAATATATCAAAAGATAGCTTAAATGTTGCCCTTAATGGTAAGTTTCCCAGACTTTGTCTCTTTCCCCACCTTTTTGGATTGATGTAAATGAACAAAAGAAATTATTTAAGAGGTAGGGGTACAATAAATTTTCTCAAGGTGTTCATTTCTAGAAGGCAGCAATATCAGCTAGTAAGAAATAAACTTTGTTTTATTTATTCCCTTGAATTACCAATACCCTCCCAATCTTAATAAATCTTCTGCTGTAACTATAAATTACCATCTTCCCCTTGGCCATTATTTTCTCACTATTTTCAAAATTTTCAGGTCTCATTTAACTCTCTATCCCCAGGCCCTCCAAATTTAATTTTTGGTCTCATGCCCTCTTTACTAAGAAATGCTTGATTTCTTTGTTTCCTTTTCTCAATGATGAGATTATCTCCCCAGTGACTGTTGAAGTCAATTAAGCCTTAGTACACAGGGGAGAAGTCAACTTGAATATTTTTTTTTTGCCTCTGGGAGATGATTTTGCACACAAATTCTTCTATGTTCTGTTTTGTATAGACCACAATGTGGGCCAGGTTCACCATGGACTAGCTGGAGACGATGTCCCCTGGAGCTTTCAGTAGGGAAATTCTTCTATGAAAATTTCCTTCTTGATCTTGCAGTGATAGAGTAATCTTACAAGACATTATGTTTAGTTTTTTTCTTGTTAGGAAAAACATCCTGAATACAGTTAAAAATTTTTCACATTTCCTCTGGTGACAAAGAGTAGGCAGGTAGTTCATATGAGTTTAAAACCTCAGTTTACAAAAGTAGAAAGAAAAAACAGCTTTTTAGATGACGTCATTGTGGCATAAGGTTGCTTGTGGGTAAAACAAAATAAACGTAACACTTGATTAGTTTCCATGCAGAGTTAAAACATGGAATTGATTTTATAAGTTAGTTGCCTGCAGGCTGAGAAAATAATGGAAGATATAGAAGTTAAATGAAATGACTCTGATTATCTGGAAATAATGTTGGGGTAACTTATTCACATAGAAAATGTCATTAGGAAATTAGTGTTAGAAATGATAGTTTAAATGAGGTCACTTAACATCACTTAGGAGCCTAGGAGGAAAAGATCTAAGACTGCAGGAATATTTTTTATAATGTTCTTATCAGAATTATTCGGCTAAAATTCATCATTTTTCCATTTCCCTTATAAAATGCTTTTTGCTGAGATCTGAATTATGCTAAAAAATAACTTTTGGGGGGCCTTCCTGGTAGCACAAGGGGTTAAGATGCAACCTATGAAGCTAGCCACAGTCACTGCAGCACAAGTTCAATCCCCATCCAGGAAGCTATGCACATGGTACAGCAGACCTCTCCTGACTCACCTGCTGCTCCCCTCAGCAGTGTATTTCAGTCAGTCTGCCTGTTCTGTTCTGTTCCCCACTCTGTCTCTGGTGATTCCTCTCACCCCCCACAACTCTGGCCTGTACCTCTGTTCTTGTATGCATAAATAAATAAATCTTTAAAAAAATAACTTTTTGGAAAAAAGAAATAGGCCATCATTTTTATTTGATATGATATTTCTAAGTTTCTGTGATTTGTGTAATACTGCACTTTTCAAAAACCCAGACAGTTCAGATCTCCTTTAGTATGAAAGACTGATTTCTAAATCCCTCACCATCTACATGTTTCTGATATCTTTGGCACTGCCAAAGGAAATCCACCTTTAACTATACCTTAAGTGATATATTCCAATTGTTTGGACACAATTATTAAAGAAAATTGCTTGGAAGTGAAGAACAATTTAACATCTTTGGATAGTGAGTCAAAAGTTTTCTGTCTACAAAACTGCATTGTGGGCAAACACCCTCAAAGAAATGTTTGGTCTTCAGCAAATGATTCAAACAGGCAAATGTTGTGAAAGTCCTTCAGGTGCTTGGTAAAGTAGGAGTCTTCAAGTCATGTGAATGACTGGATAAAAAGGGGTACAAGCAAGAGGTGTGCAATTATGTTTTTCTAATCAGGTAACAGAGCCTCTCCTATTTATTTCATGTATTTATGGGGAAGCAGTGTGGCCCAGGAGTCAAGGACCAACTCAGGGTTTGAATGCTGGCTCTGGCATTTATTGACTATGCGATATTAGTAAAATTATTTAACCTGAATATCTCATCTGTAAAATGGAATGAAACATAACACATACTCATTGAGTTGATGTGAGGATTAAAATATTTATAAATATTTATAAAGCACTCAGCATAGATCCTGGCACATAGTAAGCACTGTGCAAGTGTCCACTAAATAAAATAAATTACATACCAAATGCATTTGAAAAACTATACCTTAGAAATTCCAATTTTGTTTCAATATATATGACTGATTCAAAATACTCATACAAGAAACCAAAAAATAATGCAGCTTTCAAACATTATTTCATGCTTTGGGACTAAATTGTATTCCATTTCTCTTACATGCTCCATTATCTATGTCCGCATGTTTATAAGATATAGCGATTCAGATGTACTGTTTTCATCGCTTAATGATTATATATGTTTAAAAGTGTCTAAACATATATCTTTTATTTAAAATTCAACTTATATTAAAATTCTGTCCTTTGAGTTTAAAATCTAAAAGTAGAGATGTGACTGTGAAGCTGGCTCTTTCAACACAACTATTTCAACTAAATAAAAAAAAAACTATGTCAGCAAGTGGCAGCTTTAATTACTGGTTTGCTCAGGCACCACCACTTTGCATGGCGGTTTTACTATTTATAAAAATAAAAGGTTCAGATGTGGTGTGACTCAGCTCCCCGGGGTAACAGGAAAATACAGGGGGTGGAGTGGGAGGGGTACGCAGGGTCCTGCCATAGCTGTCTCCTGTGGGATTTTAAGTCGAGGCATGAATTTTACATGGGAGAATATATTAGCAGGAAAAGGGCTGGGGCAGCTGGGGTGGATGGAGAAGCTGGGCAGACTCTCTAAAATGGAAGAATGAGTTCAAGACCTTTCATCTTCTGTTTGTGAATTTCAACTGACAAGGTCAAATACCCAGATAGCTAGAGAAATTAAAAAACACGATAAAAATGCAATATAAATCTACTTAAACATAATGAACTGTGTAGAAACAAGCTTCCTATTCTGTAGCATAAGGTCTGATTTGGTGCTGGCCATGGTGGTAGCCTGGTGGGTAACTATTGGATGACTCGGTGAGCTAATTCAATAAATTTCCTAATGGGCATCTCCCGTGAATGATACTGCCAGAATTAGTATGGCTTTAAAAGTCAGCATGTCATTTAATTGTGGTATTTCTTTCTAGTCAACTTTTTAAAGACTTCTAAAAAAAACTTAAGAAAAAAATTAAAGGAACATTTTTAATTGTAAGTTTTTACAATGCATCAAAGTAATATATTATAGCCAGGATTCTTTCATTTTTATTTTCAAACATGATAAAGTTAGAGGATGCCATCCTGTATGACAAAAACTACATAATGCCATTTTTAAAAACAAATATTTTATATTTGTACATCTTTCTTAAACAAAATTTCAGGGTAGAGAAAAATAAAAATGAAGCCGATATTTGCATCAGAAGTGACAGCAACTTCTTATTTTCTTCCTTTTTGTTCTTCCCTTACCACACCCTACTCTATGCCTCTTTCCTTCCTAACTTTATTGGTGATATTGCAACATATATAATAAAGCCTCTGTCCTCATGGGACCAATATTCTACTAGGGAAAAAAGAGATAAACATGCAAATGGTTAAATAATATGACTTCGACTAGTGATACATAGAAAATAAAATGCATACTGGACTAAAGAGTAACTGGGGTAGGGGGTAGGAAATGGAACCCCTTTGAATACCAAAGTCAAGGAAGTTCTCTCTAAGAAGGTGACATGTGATTAAGATCTGAATAAAGAGGGCCTCTCTGGTGGCACAAGGGGTTAAGCACCACATTATGAAGCAATCCACAGCCTCTGCAGCACAAGTTCGATCCCCAGCCAGCCAAGGAGAAATCCACATGGTGAGGCAGACCTCTCCTGTCTCTCCTGCTGCTCCCCTCAGCAGTGTATTTCAGTCAGTCTGCCTGTTCTGTTCTGTTCCCCACTCTGTCTCTGGTGGATCCTCTAACCCCCCGCATCTCTGGCCTGTAACCCAGCTCTTGTATGCATAAATAAATCTTTAAAAAAAAAAGATCTGAATAAAGAGAAGGTAACTGTCTTGTAAGGATCTGGGAGAAAGAACATTCCATGTAGTGGGAGTTTATTCAAAGAAAGTGGTAAACTGACTTTTCCACTTCAAATTTTATCTTACAGATAAAATTCTCTTCTTCTGCAAATCCAGCTCCAATTTTCTTATAACACAGCATGTGAAAACTTTCCCTCAACCCTAGCAAAAGACGTGGCATAGAGAAGGGGGTCTAACAAAAAAGCAATGGTTGTATCTGACCTCTGTGAACCAAATCTTGTTCTGTCAAGTTCCAAACCATAAATCATGGCCACTTATTACCTGAGATATGAACAGAAGCATCTAGAAATCACAGAAAGGAACCACTGGCAACAAAATAGGAGGTTTGTTTCTAAAACCACTTAATCTTTCACTTTTTATTCAACTTTGGCCTTGCCAACTTTGTGACTTACCATGTCCAGTGTACTCAAAAGAATCTGCTTCATCAGGAGTATCAAGTTCATCCACATTGATATCAATTTCATCTGGACTGTCCAAGTTATCATCAGAGAGAACAGACCCTTCACTTTGGTCCAGAGAAAGATTGATATTTGGGGCTGTGAGCTTGACTCTCCGTGGATGAGTACCATCAAGATCCAGAGAATTAGGAGGATCTAGAGAAGAGAAAGAACAGCAACATCAAATACTAGGCCAAAAACATGTCTTCTAAGAGTGAGTGTGGATTCTAGTAAATGACTTTCAAGGCCCTTTTAACAAGAGTAGACCAGCTAAAAATCCGTAAGTGGGATTTGCTTCCTGTTCTTGACAAGTAGACCTTGGCATTGACCAGTAGACCTTGGCATTCTATTTCCACAAAATATTTTGAAGGCCATCTGACATACCCCTCAAGTTTGGAATTCTCAATGATAAATTTGGTGAACTTAGACATTTGTCAGGATGTGGTATAATGATATACAGTAGCCAATTATCATAGGAAACGAAAACTTTGGCAGGTATGGCCTCACAAGTGAGCTTCAATATTCAAGTCGACTCTGAAATTAACCACATTGAACCTAATACCTTTCTCACACATAATTTTTTTTTTGTCTTCACTTTTACCACTGAAATCACAAGTGGATGCATAGGAAACGGTTCTCTCACTGAATAATGAAAATGTTTGGACGTACAACACTGTTGAGGGGAAGCAACAATTGCTCCTCTTACCAGGTCTCATGTCTGCTGCACTGGGACTCAGCATTCCCTCCTCACAGGGAATGTCCATTCCTACATCCTCTGACAGTTGTCTGAAAACAGAAAAGCAAAGACTGTGAGAACATGGTGTGGGATTTAATTTTCTTTGAAAAGGAAACCAAGAGATTCTGGATTTTCAGCTCACTTACTATTAACCCACAAGGGGGACTGAATCCCTTGTACGTGACCCTACATTAGAATAAAGACTTTCTGCATTCATCTTGAATGAGAACCATCGATACCAATTTCCTCTGTGCATACAAGTCACTTTTCTTACCAGTTCATATAAATAAACTCAAATAAAAAACCCAGAAATAGGAAAGCAAATAACTAATTAAATATACTTAAGAGGGTATTCAATACATATTTGTTCAACAAGAGAGGCAATACATATGCTATGGAGACCTGAGTTTATATATCTCTCAAATGTGAACATATTAAACTGCTGTGGACAGAGGAAAGCATACTTCGCCTACCTCACTTTTGTTATTTGTAAATAGGGATATGCCACCTATTTCACTGATTTGTTGAAACATTAGTGATGAAGTAAAATGGCTGATGTTCCTGAGAAGGTACTAATTAATATTATTTGCCTTCATTCTTTGAATATTTAAAGATAAATTGTGAATACATGTTAGTGAAGATGGTTCTGTTCATGTGTCACCATCTTTTCTCCATAATCATCAACCCCCACCCAGAACTGTTTTTATTAACCCACATCTGAGTGTAGCAGATAGGACAATACTGCAGAAAATTGTGACAAATCTATATACTATTACAGCAAACTGATCAATGTTCACCATGAATTCCCCTTGATTTATTTTCATTTCCCATCTCATGAGATCAACTCCCATTTATCATGATAATATACTTTTCTTTTTCATGATTTCTAACTAATTTTATTGACCTAGGGTGAATCCTTGTGATATAGTCACTAATCTAAATTTAAACATGGTAAGCCTTTGTGTTAAAATTCTAAATTTAGTTCTTCCTTCACTTTCTTCTTGAGACTTCCCTCCACCTCAATCTGGGTCTCCCAAACATTTGGAGTTTCCATACCTAGATGACTGATTTCTCCAGAACCCAAATCAAACCTCCATCCATTGTCATTAAGGGAGCGAAATAAAAATTCTACAACTATAGTGATAACTGTATTTGCTTTGTTTATTCAATAGCTATGTACTGAGTATCTACAGGGCTGAAGATGGAGAAGAACAAGAAGCCAGCTTCATTCTTTTGGGGGAGAGGGGCCAATGGGGTGAAAATAATGACAACACTAATTACTCAGTATCGCTCTACTGGAGGTAATTAAGTACTTATGTTTTTACCCATTAGCCCCACAAACCTCTTCAAAAACCCAGCCTCAGGGAATTCTTTCTCTGTACACTTGCTATGGCTTCTACCTTGTATGTTCTCTAAAACAAATCCTGTACTGTAGCAGATAGTGAGCCAGAGGAAAGAAAATCTGTTCCACAGACATACCAGTGACAGCAAACCAAATTGACAACAGAAGAGTGAGTGGCCAGAAAATGGAAGGAATGCATTAGATCCAGTTTTAAAAGTCCTGGGACCCAGGAGGACGGTTGTCTAAGTTTCCTATGCTGCTGCAATTTTTCAGATTTCTTTACCATGGTCCTTTGTCATTGAAAGTAAACTGTGCGTGTTCTTGACATCAAGCTAGTAGTCCCTGCAAAGTGGTAAAATGCTGCAAAGAGCAGCTGGATTCAAATCTTAGTTTTATCACTTACTGTGTGTCCTATCAAAAGTTATTTAGATTCCTTGCTAATAAGAGGAAGAACATACAATGCTTGAAAGTAAACATGGAAAGAAAAGAATGTCATCTTTATTACTGTAGTTGGCTTTTCTCCATTAGTTTTGAAGCTTCCTGAGGACAGGAGTCATGTCTATCTTGCTTACTTTATTATACCTCTAGCACCTCGTAGAAGTAAATATTTGAGGGATATGTGCTGAATTGCATTACTGAGCTTGAATATCCTAAATAAAAACATACATTAACTTCTTTAGTCCTCTGCCTATGAGTCAACCCAAAAAGTAAAAATAATAAAAAAAAAAGACATATCTGTCTGATAGTGCACATAAGGGTATGTGCTTTAAAAATAGATAGTATTAGTCTTAGGTGTTGTTAACGCTCATAGTTATGGACAACATCATGGAATAATTACAGTCCCGGGTAAAAGGTTTTAGTTCCAGGTTGTAGCGCCACTATTAGTACTAACAAGCTGATTAAACCTGACAAAATCAGCTGACCATCTTTGTGATTTTAAATGGAGATAATCAATACCTAACATCACAGTGACTGTGGAGAATAAATATATATGAAAGTTCTCTGTAAATTATAAGGCATTGACAAAGTTTAAGGCGTTACATTCCCTCATGTTAAACATATATCAGGATCAGTGATTTTGTTGAAGTATGTCTCACGATTGGACAAAATATAATTACAGTTACTACAATTTGGGTCTGAGCCCTGGCAAGGGAAAATTTCAGGACCACACAGATCTCCATAGTACCATAAGTGGCCCCGCACTGGCTGATAGCCACGAACACACGTTTGTCTTTCATTACTCCTTTTCAACACAGTGCAGAGACCCTCTAAAGAGGTGCTGGAAAGCTGGTGGTGGCAAGCAATGGGGGAGCAGAAAGGTGAAGGCTGTGATTAGGGGTGCAGAGGAGAGGAACGCTCACAAACCCAAGGACATTATAGCAGGCCATGGGGCATTTTAGGAAATCCCAGGGACAAGGAGGAAAACGGAACTAAAGCAGCCTAGAAGCACACCTGGGAGAAGTTTAAGTTGCACTCATTGTAAATTCTTCAACCATATCCATCCATTAGATCCAAAAATATTTAAAAATGAAGCAGCCGAGCAGAGCAGTAGGCAATTGAGCAGGTTGCAACTTTACCTCTTGGGATCTATTAGGTGACATATCAGTCCAGCATAAAAGCAAGTATTTTATCATATCTATCCCTAGCAGTAACTAATTGGGGGTTTTGTGTAAGTGGAGCTACCAAGGAGACTGAGGTTGTAAACACGAATCTGACTGGGCAATGACTGACCTCCCAAACAGCAGCTCAACTCCACGTCGCCATCTAGAGGATGAATACAGAACTGTTTATTTGCTGTTTGTTTTATAATCATCATTTTATTTCTTAATTTGAGAAACCCATCCTATATTAGCAACTCAGATAATCAGGTTGATGGTACATATCTTCCTGTCTGAACTGTTTAAATATGAAGAATATTTTTAAAAAATGAAACCAAAACTCAGAAGTGCATCCAATGCTTTCAAGTATTCTATAAATGTGGGTATTAATATATCATTAAAAATCATGTTAATAAAATATGTCATAATAAAAACCATTATGGGTAGGAACATCTGAAAATAATAATGCATAAATGTTCATAGTGAAGGGATATAAATGGATATATCAGAAAAAAACTGCAGGAAAGCAAATTTAACAATATTAATATAAAAATAGATTTTGGACAGAAAAGCATTATCAAGGCTTAAGAAAGTAATTTAATAAAAAGACACAATTCTTTAGAGGGTGTGGTAATGTAGATCCATTATGCTTTTAACAGCATAGCTAAAAAATAAATAAAACAAATTGAATATAAATTATAAGAAGTTAATTTCATGGGGGAAAATTTGAATATACTCAAAAATTTATAAATCAACCTGAAAAAATGAATAAGAATATAGAATATCTGAGTGATGTAATAATATTGCTTGATCTAGGGCTCCCCGGTGGCGCAGCGGTTGAGCGCTGGGTTGCGAAGCTGCCCGCAGACTCTGCAGCGCCGGTTCGATCCCCGGCTGCTCCCCGGCCACTGGAGGAGGGTCCCACATGGCGTGCAGACCTCTCCTGCCGCCCGCTGCTCCCCTCAGCAGTGTACTTCGGTCCTTCTGCCTACTCTGCTCCCTGCTCTGGCTCTGGTGAATTCTCTCACCCTCCCGTGCCCCTGACTGTACCCAGTGCTTGTATAAATAAATTAATCTTTCAAAAAAAAAATATTGCCTGATCTAATGGATAGAACTGCAGGCAATAAAAGAACAATTTTTTCAAACTCATAGAACTGACTATATAGAATGTCTCATAAAGCACCAAAAGTCAATATCACATGGACACTATTTTCTGACTTTAGAAACACACATCTAGTGATCAATCATAGAAAAGATAGTTTGCAAACTGAAAAACATACTTGTAAGTAACTGAAAAATAAAGTTTTAGGTAACAAAACTTGTGGAAGCAGCTAAAGAAATTCCTAGAGGCAAATAAATAGCCTTGAATCCAGATATTGGGAAATACAATGGTCTGAATAGCTAAGGGTTCAGCTGAACCCTGGAAGTAGAAAAAGAGCCACCATGACCTCATATGATCCAATGTTACTTATATTAAATCTGCGCAGCTGCTAATGATTATGAATACCAGTTGGGGAATGGTGACATAAACTGAATTCTGCAATTTGAGAATAGATTCCACATGCATTGGAAGACTCTTTGTTTCTGCCACTTCTGCTTCTTGATACCGAAGCCAGCAGTAGTGGCACGACAGTGCTGAGCCCACTGAATGAAAGACCACAGTGCAAAACTTCTGGGCATAGTTAAATGTACCCTTGTACCTCTAGGCCAGATACAAGGGCAAGTCCATTCCACATTTGACAGCCTTCCAGCACTTCTGAATCTGGAGGGGTTTGTTACGGAAGGATTAGTCTTGCCCAAGATCAGGTTCTTTTTTTTTTTTTTTTTAAATAATAAATTTTATTTTTATATTCCCCCATACAATTGCAAACCCCCCATTCTGACCCCAATCCCTCCCCTCCCGCCCCCCCCCCCAAAAAGTGTCTCTGGTTCATAGTTTTTTGTTGATTTTAATTTTCACTTTCTTATAGTTATTCATTTTCCTGGTCCCTTATTTAAGTTTTCTAGATTCCTGCTATGAGTGAGACCATCCGGTATTTTTCTTTTTCTTTTTGGCTTATTTCGCTGAGCATGATCCCTTCCAGTGCCATCCATGTTGCTGCAAATTGCA